ACAGCATGGTGACTCTAGCTAATAAAACTGGATTGCATACTTGAAAGTTGTTAAGAGTACATTTTAAAAGTTCTCAGTACAAGATAAAAAAATTTTTTAACTATGTATGAGAACATATGGTAACTAGACTTCTTGTGGTCAGTCTGCAGTGTATACAAATATCGAATCACTATGCTGTACACCTGGAACTAATACAATATTATGTGTCAATTTTACCTCCATAAAAATAATAAACATTTTTAAATGAAGTCCTTAATCCTATGGATCCATGAAAATAAAGCAGGACTGTCCTGTTAACCCAGGACACAGGGAAGGGGGCCATGCTTACAAAGACTCTCCTTGTCCCGCACTCCTCTCCTCTCCCCAGGCCCCTGTAAGCTGGTTCTTCACCAAACACGGAACCGGACCTCCCGGACCTCCCGGACCCCAGCGCCGACGGCCGCTCTTTCCCCTTCACCTTCGCTCTCGGAAATAGCCCGCAGCTCAGTGCGGTCACGGCTCCTGCCCGCATCGGTCCTCTACCCTGGGTGCCCCCACCACCCCCGGGGACCCTGGGTAGACACCACAGCTCCTAGCCGCGGCCGTCGCCTCGGCACCGGTCTCCTCCGCCTCCTTCTACAGAATAGAATCTACACCCTCCTGAGACCCTCCTGAGACCCTCGCCTCCACCACCACGACTCCGACCACACCACCGCTCCCCTCCCCGCCCCTCCGCACACCCCGCCCCCTGCCCCCGGGTCGGCGCCTCTCAGGCCTCGCAGGGACCCCACTTCCTAGACCCCTTCAGACAGCCACTCTCTCTCGGACCAGCAGAGCCCCCGCCCCGTCTAGACCTCGGAGGCGCCCTTTCCCTGGCTCCGCCGGTCTCCCTCCCGGCCCGCGCCCGGGTCCTCGGGTCGCCCGCAACCGCCCCGCCGCCGCGCCCCTTTACCACTGGACACTGTGGCGCACGCAAGCAGGAGCGTCAGGACCAGCGGCCGCTCCAAACCCGCGGGGGCCTGGGGGCCCGGTCTGGGCGGCAGCTTCGCGCGCACTGCCCCACTCATCTTCCTCAGGGCGACAGCGGCCATAACGGACTCTGCCCGGAACCTGCGCGGTAGCTAGGCTCTGCGTCATGACGTCAGGCCCTGCGTCAGGCGTCAGGGCCCGGAGCCCCTGCGTCCCAGCGTGGTGACGTTGCAGCCGGCGCGGGCTCTGGAAAGGGAAATGAGGAGGAAGGGTGGTGGGAGCTGGGCAAAGGGGAGCCCCTCCCCCCCGACTGGGCTGCGGGCCAAGGAGGTGATGGGTCCGGTGTGGGGAGGGTCAGGAGCGAGCCTCTGCCTGCCTCCCGGTGATGGGAAACGCACAGCTAATAAAAGTGTTTTAGCCGAAACCGGTTTGGCTCATTGGATAGAGCGTCTGCCTGCGGACTGAAAGGTCCCAGGTTCGATTCCGGTCAAGGGCAAGTACCTTGGTTGCGGGCACATCCCCAGTAGGGGGTGTGCAGGAGGCAGCTGATCCATGTTTCTCTCTCATCGATGTTTCTAACTCTCTGTCCCTCTCCCTTCCTCTCTGTAAGAAATCAATAAAATATTTTTTTTAAAAAAAGTGTTTTAAAACGTCTGTGAATATATAATAACTTAATAAATAAATAAATAAAACTTTAAAAAAAAAGTCTGTGAATGGAGGAGCCAACTGTGTCATAGGCTGATCCCCAAAGGAAGGTAACTGCCTCTTCCCTCCCAAAGGCGAAGGAAACGGATGTTACCAGGGCAATGGCTGGGTGGAATACAGGTAAATGCTTTTACCTTTTATCTGTACCCATAGTCACTCACCACTTCCACAAACATTTAGGCCTCTCCATACTTCAGTATACAGCGGGGAACAGGACAAAACCCGACATTTGTGGTGTTTATTTTCTTGTGAGGGAGACCATAGTGTAAAATATACACTGAATGCGATGGAAAAGGTATTATGGAGGAAAGCCGGGAAGCGGGCTAAGAAATAGAGGGGCAAAGGGCTTCCACATTTCCTGCAATAAGCTGCTGTTACTTTTTAAATCTTGAAACTTCAAATTCCCAGCATCTGAAAATGCAAACTTAGAAGCATCCACACAGTTCCCTTAAGGCAGCGGTTCTCAACCTGTGGGTCGCGACCCCTTTGGGGGTCGAACAACCCTTTCACAGGGGTCGCCTAAGACCATCTGAAAACACATATATAATTACATATTGTTTTTGTGATTAATCACTATGCTTTATGTTCAATTTGTAACAATGAAAATACATCCTGCATATCAGATATTTACATTATGATTCATAACAGTAGCAAAATTACAGTTGTGAAGTAGCAACGAAAATAATTTTATGGTTGGGGGTGACCACAACATGAAGAACTGTGTTAAAGGTCGCGGCATTAGGAAGGTTGAGAACCACTGCCTTAAGGCCTTAGGCACAACGGTTTGATCTGTATGTTCTGTGAATGTTTCCTTAGTAAACATCTATAGGCTTCAGATAAAAGTCCCATTGGGTCAGTTTGCAGGAAAATCAGCATGTCAGGAAGGAAGATGTTTATTGTACCCACCACTTCCCCACTCTGGGCTCCGAGATTCCCTCGGAAGATTTGCTGCCACCCCCCCATCCCAACTCCCCCAGGCCGCATGGGGAGGGACGGGAATCTAAGGGTATATAGGACACCCAAGGAAAAGAGAAAAGTCGTCGTCCCTCTGATCAGACATCAACATCGCTTAGAGCGAGAAGATGTGATATCTTGAGATACAAGATGAGGTTTATGCGACATACTAAGATTCTATGATAGAAA